TGCAGAAAGTTTTAAAGCCAGGTTTCACTGCAAGCTGCAGAAGACTGCTAAGTGAAATATAACTGTTTACGCTACCCAAAAAAAAAGAGTTGTTGTTTATAAATGTTAACTACTTATTTAGTTTTATCACATAACTTTTATTTTAATTCTAAAATTTCCTGGCACACCCACTGAAACAGTTTTGCCGCTGCTAATGTGCCTAATATCCAGCTAGTGAAATAATGACATGTTACGCGACTATTAGGGTTGCTTCTACTTAGTAGTGATTGAAGTGTCTTATCTTCTCAGGTATCAAATTGTTAAATTACAACACAAATGGGAGATACTCAGATTTAATATGCCCTTTCCAGCTCTCTCAGCAATAACAGCTGCTCTCAATGTGTTTTAAAAGCACTATAAAAACAATATTTCAACAATTTATATTTGCCAAATGAAAACACGTCAGTGCTGGGAATAAACAAAACAACACAAAAATAGTCTAAAAATAAAAAGCCGTGGATAACTAGACCAAAAGAAGCAGAGAAATTTAGAGTTATATTTTTATACACACACAGACAAAGCTGTGTGTTTCCCTGAAGGAATTCGTTGAAAGTAAACGATTTTATTAGAATCTGTTTATTTAGAAAGATGCTTTCAGGTAAACAATTGCAGCCAGAAAAAACAGCTGACCACACTCAAGTCAGCAATGGAAGTTCCCACTAATTTTGATACTAACAGAATTTTACTCAGTGGCTTTAGAAGTACCTTCATGTAGTTTGAGAAAACCTGGGGCAGAGTTAAGGTGATCATGCTCAAACTCACACCTCCTGCAGCAGTTATTTGCTTAAAAAAAAACCCCAAAACAACTCACAAAAGCAAGAGCACTTGATTTCAACAGGTCAAAATGAAAAATTAAAATTAAAAGATGTTAATATATAATAAAAGGAGGTATGAACTCACATGAAAATAGCTATTCAGGTAAAAAAAAAGAATTTCTTTAAATGCCTAAAAAAAAGTGTGATGATTGTTTGGCTTATTACTAAACTATGCTGTTTTACAGCACGTGCTTTGCTTAACCATTTGCATTTCTTCAGACCCTTGATTTGCTTCTTTCAGAAAAACTCTACTATTTACTTTTTTTTCCTGAAAAAAAGAGCAGTATGTCTGAAGTCTGTGTGGTTCACTGGGAGTTCATTGGGATATATTTGCAACTCCTGAAGCAAAAAACTGATATTTTATCTTTAGAAGGAGTTACATTTTTTGAACTTATTGAATTTTTCGAAGATCAGCATGAAGAGTTCTGATTAAATGCTTGCTTCAGCGTTTTAAAGGCTTCTTGTGTCCCTGTTGCCTAAGGAGGTCATACATTATGATTGCTCTGTAAACATCAGATTGTACAGAATTGGCTCTGCATACCATGCTGGGCACACAAAGAAGAAGTCAAATGGCTTATCTCTCCCTTATCAACTAGTTTATTTTTCATGCCCAAAAAAGGCTATATATTTACAAGAGCAGCTGCTACTTTGTAAATAGTTTAATGGCTTCTGTTAAGTAGAGCTGTCCATTTTGAAAACAATATTAAAAGAAGATTTTCATTTTACCATGGGCTTGCACATTTTAAAATGCATTTTTATCCTTGAAAGTCCAGTGGAGGATACTGGAGAACGGAAACAGCTTCTGATTTGCAGACACAGATCCAAAAGAGAATAGATATGGTTAAATAATGACACATGTATGAGCAGGGAAGGCATGAGATCTCATCACCTGCGTACCGCGTCCAGAGAGCATCCTGCTCGTTAAAGCGTAGGAAAACTTTTAGTGGACTTGTAAAGAAATGTATTTGGCTATTTCAGACAGGCTCTAGGTGTAGCAATAGCAGCTATCAGCAAATTCTGGAAATGCAGAACGTGCATTGTGTAGTTGAGTGTGTATAACATGATCCTAATATTAATCATAACAAATGGGATTTTGTAGATAAAGATTTTTAGCACAACATAATTCATATTATTGCATCTGATAAATGACTTTAATGATGAAACAACAATGTTAGCCGCGATACCCACTCTCAAGTTTTTAAAATTCAAATTCAGATTCAAATCCCCAGATCCTAACAAGATAAGCAAATGCTAGGTTACAACTAAAACCAGCAAGAGTTCATTGTGCAATAAGCCAAAGGAAGATCCCAGATTACCTGAATACGAAATCTTAGGTGCAGCTTGTAGTACCTCCAATGCTAGCACGAAGTCAAGTCTTTATTAAGCACCAAACCTATCCAGAGCCCTCATCTAGGTGTGAGGACCACCACCCTCTCCCAGCTCTATGGCATTGTTGCCAAAATCCTTCCCTTTTTAATTACGTGTGGGGTATGTTGCCTCTGGTTTGGGAAGGGCTGTGTTGTTTAAACAGTGTTCCTTGCACATTTGTTTGTCCTGCTGTAGCACTTCTCACAGGGAACGCAGTCCGATGTCCCACAACAAAAATGTTTATTTCTTTACTCTAGAGCTCATATCTGATGGCTTTGTGGCTTTGAACCACTCCTGGCATCTGATGCTGTCTAATGTTCTACTGCAACACTGCAGCTGTATACCCAGACTAGAATAGGTTCAATCCTTATAACTTGAGGTCGATTTCAGATATTTGATTTAGATATGAAAGTGCAAAGAAATCTATTTGCACTCCCATGGGTAAGAACCCCCCTCATCCCCCAGTTTTGGCTACATGTGTGCTTGCATATGACTGATGGCTCTGTTTTCCATCAGGTTCCGATGGATCCAGTAGCATTACTTAACAAGATGTAGCTGTGCTGCATCCACAGCGCAAAATATCAAAGTCAGTGGCCATCGTTATAATTGCTCATAGCATTCGTATATTAGAAATATGCAACACGAGGACTGAATACATCCAAATTGTAGCCTGTTCCACATTACAAAACCCTAGGTCCCACCCAGAGCATGTGCATAAGTTACACTGAAGTGATTGACGTGAGAGGGCTGCGATTTATTCAGATCTGGTTCTCAGCAAGTATGAGAAAATGCAAATTAATAGTACGATGGAGAGAGATCAAGGCAAAGCAGATCCAATCCTATGTTGTTTCCTTTCTCAATACACACTCCTCTCTTGGCATCTCTCAGGGTTCTGAAATGCCACTGCTCCTTGGAGCTAGGTCAGCCTCAGGAGTGATGTCTAAGGAGAAGCCATGGACATCGTGTATTGGTGAACATTTGTAACTTAAGGGGGTAAGCTAAGTAGGCCTTAGACATTACTGAGTAGGGGGAAAAAGAAAAAAAGAGAAAAAAAACATTAATTACACCAGCTTGACTCAACACTGTACATCTTAGCTTTGACATTTAGAAAATGAAAAGATTTAACATTTCCCTCCTTAAAAGTTAAGGCCAAGTGAAGAGGGAGGCTCTTCAGGACCAAAGACTTGGTTCACAGGTGGAAGCGTGGCAGTGAGAGCTCCGTTCCCAAGCAGAGGCTGTTGAAGTTTGTCCCATGAGAGCTGCGGTGGATTTTGCCTGCACACACATCAACAGGAATTTTGTTTAAGCCTTTCCCAGAGTTCTTCACGCATACCAAAAGCAGTTTCTCCTGTACCTTTTTAAGTTCCCCGTATTGCTCCCCTCCTTCGCTTGGCTGCTCACTCTGCAACAGGCTCCAAGAAGAGATCTCCAGGGAAACCTACTCTACCTGTGCTTGAGTTCAGTTTGCCAGACATACAGCATTGCTCACACACCTTTTTTCTCCCCTCCTTTTTTCTCAGTTTTCTATTCAAGGTAGAGAGGAAACTGCACCAGGGCCAGTTCAGCTCCTCTATTTACTGTAATGTGGTGTGCATGCTTGGAGGTGTGTTGCCCCTGACCGAGTTGGTTGTTTTCAGCAATTCCCCACATTGCTCCACATGTGGGAAACAGCAGCACAGGCAGAGAATATCAGTTACCTGAGAAAGCCAAACTGGTTGCCACACTTCACCCTCTCTTGCACCGCAGATGCTAATAATATTTAGGTAGCATGAAGAGTAGAAATAGTCCACAGCAATCTTTCAGCATTAGCTTTTTAGGAGTCGGAGATTCAGAAACACTTACAAGTAGATTTGCCCTCCTAAGCCGGTGAGCATTCTGGGTCTCTGGCCAAAATGTAAACTAGCAGTATGGCAGCGCTCACAAGAGCATTATATTCTTCTCACTACCCATGGTGTTGCCATGGGTATTGTGCAGATTAGTTTATACAGGATCCAGGAAGGCAGAGAACAAAGGGGAAAAAAACAGGATTAAAAGAGAAAAAACGCAAAATGCAAAAAGGTCTTATGATTTTGAGAAAAATCTTTTAAAGTCTTTATCTGTAACAGGACTTCTTTTTCCTTAATCTAAACTTTGCTAGCCTGGAGTTTCATTAAATTATTTATTTATTTATTTATTTTAAGTCTCATACCTGGAATACGCAATCCCTCCTCTATATTTTTAAGTGGTTCAGGTATTTTCAAACAATTTCCTTCCCCAGAGGGCTCAGACTGGAACTTGGGAATTGGAGGCCCCTTCTTCACCTACCTGAAGACTTCAGGTCTTGGTTGTGAACCAAAATACTTTGAAACAAAGCTAAAGAAAGTCTTTATTTTTACTGAAGGAGTTACACATACCCCTATGGAGGAACAGTCAATTGATAAGACTTTGATCTGTATGGCAACAGTGAAATACTCACACACAGCAGCCTTTGGCAGCCAGCTAGACCTTTTCTAGTTGACAGTTTAGGGAAGGCATTTCCTCCTTGCTAACTAAAGCCAACACACACTCACCCCCTCCCTTCTGAAAACTCCTGGACATGTTATTGTTGCTCGTCATTAGCTACTTGGTCTCCTTTTCAAGGGGAAAAGCCAAGGATGAAAGCTGTATGAGCCATTCGATGTGATGCATTACAAGAGAGGACACCCTTGTCCTTACTGACATCTAAGGCAAACAGTTGGCAACTTGACTGGTACTTTAAATTAAATAAGCCTGATATCATATCTTGATTCATCTTAGCAGAACTTCTGGGGCAGTCAGATGAAGAAGACCCATCTCGCGAAGCTTTCATTGATCAATCTTCGGAGCGTGGAGGAGAGCGCGACCTGCCTGCCCCCAGCCCGACTGTCAGAGCACCAGCGCAGAGCTGCTCCCGCAGGTGAGCGGCACAGGAAAGGGCACACGGGCAACCTGTGTGTCTATCAAAGACCTTTTGTAAGGCCAAGGAAAATCCTGTATTTCCATAAGAGAAAATGGAAGGGAGGGGGACAATTAACTAAAATACTTTTGAAATGTATATTTGATATTCTGAACTTTCCTGACAGCCTCAGTTGTTATCTGCATCATGAATGTTAACACAATAAAACATTAAGCAGGAACTAAGAAAAAGTTGGAAGCCAGAAGGACATGGTATGGACACAAAGCAGCCTCCAGAAGCACAGACAGTTTGAGAGCATTTAACATGCACTAGCACAACCATTTTCAGAATAAACCATTTGGGCAAATGCAGCCTTCCTTGGTGAATGTGCAGAAGAGAGAAATACAGCAATGGAAATGCAGTGAATTAACAGTTATAGGTGGTAAACAGAACTTTTAAAAACCTAACATGATCTTTACAGGTTTCTGTACTCTCATCACTAGCCTGTGATCAAAATCCCTGGGATGAGTGCCCTTCTTCCAAAGTTGAGTAAAACCTGGAACTTACCTCTTATGAGAGGAACAACAGGTCTGATGACTGGGGGTTTTCAATGTTTTTGTTGCTAGTGAACGAGCACCCCACCTTGCAACCAATGGGAAATCAGAATGAAACAGCTCTTCTGCAAAAGTTAAAAAGCTTTCTCCTATTTTTCTTCATACATTCTTGATAGAAAAGAAACAATTGCTTGTTCCCAGTGAGTGTATAATGCACTTATTTTTATTTTCTGTGCCTACTGTATGTAGGAATATTTTAGTGACTCTAGTGTGAGTACAATGTCAAAATTCCACATTGACAAATCATCCTAACCATTTGTATGTAACTGTGCTGAACACTTTGTGGGCAAGAAACATTTCTTTCTCCTTCTGGAAATCTGTATATTACCCAGCTTTCTGTCTTTCCTCACATGAAGAGATTGAGCTTTTGCAGCATTAGATGTAATATCCATGACACCAGCTGCACACCACTAGTGAAATCTTTATTTTATTCATAGTCTACAACTTTTTGGATACAGCACACTGTCTATAGCTTTCAGAGATATCTAATGGATTTGGAGATGGGGCCCGCTTTTAAAAATATAGTCACAATTTTTCTGTCTTAAGTTTCGGGATGGAGATAGCACCGTATTGATATGGGCAAATAATAAAGACAGTAAGATCATGCTGCAGACAGTACTGATTACAGAGGACTTTCCAAGTCCTCCAATAAAATGAGCTCATTTAACAGAACGCTAGAGCAGAGACTAATCCCAACACGCCCTGATCCCAAGGTATAAACACGCTACCTCCCTTCAGCTCACCTTCTCCCTTTCGGAGGTTGCCGTGACTCACACGTCTCTGGCAGTCCCGCGTCTGCCTTCGTCAGGCGTCTTGGGAGAGAGATTGCAGAGTTCAACTTTACTCCTACTCCCAGGCTACCCAGCTTGACCGCATTCGCCTGGCTTGCCCAGGTGGGTCACCAAAAGTTGCTGAGCCTCACAAGTGGCTCCTTGCAATCACCAGGGCTGCATAAACTGCTGGGATTTTCTGAGGCTTTTTTTTGCCTCTCGCCAGGTTGGTGAGTATAAAGCAAGTTCCCCACCCACGCGACCGGCTCCTCCACCTGCTGACACCCAGTGCTTGCAGCTGACCTCCCCCAGGAGAGCCTGGAGTTTCTGGTTGCCTCTTGCGGAACTGTGAAAGAAAACTTCTCACAGCTCTCCTGGGTGGCTGCAGCCACTTGAAGCCTGCCAACATGAATTTGAGTTTTAAAGGCACTCCCTGTGACAATGCCAACTGGCTCGGAAAGTCACCTGCTGAGGCACAGGTGACTCCAACAACATCTTCTCCGTGCTTAAAAAAAAACCCCATAGACAGTTACAGGCACATAACTGTGGCTTGTGTTTTGCCTCTAGTTTCAGTTTGTTTTCTATAAAACATCTGCTGCCAAGTCGGCATCAGACTTCTTCAACTGAAGAAATTTGTATAAAGGAAGGAAGGTTTTGAGTGTTAGGAGCTTACATAAATAGGGATGTTCTTAGTTTGCAGTCATTACAATGTTTCACCTCTCTGGCCAAGATCGGAGCATTGGGTTATGATTAATGGGATGAAATTTAACTAAGTCGAAATGCCGGATTCTGCACCTAGGACAGAGTAATGCCAGGCACAAGTATAAATCAGGAGAAGAGTGGCTGGAGAACAGCCCTGCAGAAGGGATCTGGAGGACATGTCCTGTGAGGAGCAGCTGAGGACTTTGGGCTTCTCTAGTTTGGAGACAAGGAGGCTGAGGGGCGACCTCCTTGCTCTCTACAGCTTCCTGAGGAGGGGACGTGGAGAGGGAGGTGCTGAGCTCTGCTCCCTGGGATCCAGTGATAGACACATGGGAATGGTTCAAAGCTGCACCAGGGGAGGTTTAGACTGGACATTAGGAAGCATTTCTTTACTGAGAGGGTGGTCAAACACTGGAACAGGCTTCCTAGAGATGTAGTCCATGCCCCGTGCCTGTCAGTATTTAAGAGGCATTTGGACAACGCCCTTAACAACATGCTTTAACTTCTGGTCAGCCCTGAATTGGTCAGGCAGTTAGACTAGATCATTGTAAGTTCCTTCCAACTGAAACATTCTATTCTATTCTATTCTATTCTATTCTATTCTATTCTATTCCATACTAGAGATTTGGCTGCCTAATCTGAGACATTGGCAGAGGACATCATTTATAATGGGTAGATGGTTACGCAGCACTTGAAGAAATTTCTTTAAATTGATCCAACTTGTGAACCCAAAATTAACTCCTATTTGCTTTTTGCTGCCTCAATGAATTCACTCGAAAATGGTGACAACACCACCTTACTAAAAAGCAGTGGAGTTTATGAAATCACAGCTGTATAGTGGTTGCAGCTGGACGTCTTAGTAAGCGCACAGCAACATTATTATTCTAACTGATTTCCCACATCACAAATTCATATCTGACATTTCCACTGTCCACTTCTTCCCAGCCTCCAACCACTACCCGCAGTTTCAAAATCAATAACCAGGACACATTCTCCCTCCTGTGAAGGCCCTTCATTGTTCGTTATCTTGGTCATTTTTTGTTTCATTATTGACTTTCTCCATTTCTCATGCTGTTTAACGCTAGTCTTCGGTGTTTATATATTCTGCTCACCAGCGGGATAAATGTACATCCTGAATCATTTCCTCTTTACTTCTAAAGTCTTTCCCCTGAAGAAAAACAAAAGAAAAAAATTCCATTTGTGTAATAGGTTTACTACTATTCTTCTCTGTTCCCTAACCCCATGCACAATACAGACAAGTCACTTCAGCCATGCTTTATATGTATTATTGTGGACAGCTTGTTGATTTACCTCCTCAGCATCATTTAAGTCCATGAGATTCTGTCTCTGAGGCCTTGATTTGTAGTCTGGGGAGCAAGGTAAGTCTATAGCTTTTGTTTGCTTTGTTCCCCTGCATGTTGGCACACTGTGAGTTCCTACAGCAAATACAGTCCTTTCTGGTGATGTGGTAAGAGTCATCTCAGGTCTGGACTCCTGAGTGTTGCTCCAAGTTTAACATGAGGGAACATACTGCTGCTCTCTTTCTGACCTTCCGGATGTTTGCCAGTGCCAATGGTTCATTTCTGCTGTTATCCATCACAACTTCCCATGGGAAGAAGACAACCTGAGCCAAAGCAATCTTGAAGTTGGGTCTAACTTAACAGTTGAACCTGATTTGAGAAGAGGATTGGGACAGATGACCTCCAGGGCTCCCTTCCAACCTAAAATCAACCTGTTCATTTCAAGTCAAGCCTCAGTGTTCAGTGTAATTAGCCTTGCAATAAAAACCCCACAACCTTACCTGTACAAGTACATTGCAAGGCACACAAGGCCAGCAGCACTGCTCGTGTGCACTTGGCCTGCACGAATTCAAGTGTACATGACAGTACGCCCAGGCTCTGCTGTCTTCGGGGTAGCAGTGGTTCCCCTAATCTCTTGTAAGACACCACAACAGGACTTTACAGGTGTTCAGCAAGAGTACTTGACAGCTGCTTTTTCTTCTTTCCCAGAGTCTTTTGTTGTCTGCCTTGGCTTTACATCTTTGTATCAGCTATACCCATGAAATCCATGAAATCAATTGACCTACATTACTGCATTTCTCACGCTACCACCCCTGTCAGACCCAGATACTGCCCCAAATCTGTATCTCACCCAAGTTTCTGGAAGCTCATCTCCAGCACATACCCAAACTTCTTTCTTTCCTGTATTTCAACTTTGACAGAACCTTTGTTTTTGGACAGGTGAGGTGTATCTCATGTTTTACACCTAGCCGGAAGCCCTGGGTGAGGGCCCTGTGAAGACTAGCAGAAGACGTTTCTGTTTAACCTAATAAACCTTATTATTGATGCCCTTCAGGGTGCCTAACATCTGCATATGTGTAACAGAAGCCCAGTTTTCAGGCTGCCTGACTAACAAATCACTTCAATTAACTCTTCACATCATCATCTCCTTTTCTGCTCTGCCTAACAAGGAAAGCCATTACCTGGGATGGAGACGGAGACAGAAAAGGGACAGAAAAGGCTGGAATGATCATTCATAAAGTAGTCTCAAGGGCTTATTTCTCCAAGAACTTCTTCTAGGCAAAACCTGGTTTATCTTCTTGCCTTAGCAGTCAGAAAGCACAGAACTTAGTTTGAGACTACAGTATTTTTTACAGACAGAGAAAATCAGCTTAACTCTCTGACATTTTATGAAGGTAGCAATAGAAAACTCTGACATTTTATGAAGGTAGCAATAGCGTTGCTATCAGTGGAGAACTATTTTCAACTTTCCGAACTGTGCACACACATACACGGAGCAAGTTCGGAGCAATAAAGATTTCAGGACAATGCTCCAGACAGAAGCATTTTATTTGCTTCACGGTTTCTTTCACTCTACCATGAATGGGACAGTTAAATACCACCAATGATGCACAGACCAGTGAATAATTTTATAAGAGAAAGCTCTCATCTCTGGCTTATGTTTGCCATTAACCATTGCCATTCTGTTCTTCCAAATGTCAGATATGTTATAGCTTAGCAATTCTTGTCCTCTCTGTCATTATTCTTGTTATCTATTTATGAAAACATTTTAATATGCCTATAAAAACCAGAAATATTTTCAGAAGGTATGGATGCTGTTGCTCAGAGGACCAAGGTAATGTACCGATCCTCTTGGCAACTCATTAAAAGAACAGATTGATCCCTGTGGGGCAGCTTATTTCTGGATGAGTCCGGCACATGAGTCAGCACAGAACCATGGCTGCACTCACTCCTCTGCCATTGGTATTGGTAACTGCGGTGTGGATATCCTCCCCATCAGTGTGTCATTCTGTTTTCTTACCATAGTGCAAGTGGATTTGAATATCTTGCATTCGTTGATAGTGTCAGGATGTGTGTGAAGCTGGGTTGCAGGGGTTTTTTTAGCTTATTATCCATCTACCTTGCCCCCATCCCCCAAACCAGAATTACGTATCTCTTATTTTAATACAAGTGATTATGGTAGAAGGCAAAAGTATAGATCATCACAGCAGTTTTTATCATAAAACTTCCCTGTTGCTTAGGTACACACATATTTCTACTGCTCTACAAAGTTTTTATTTAAGCTCAAAAGCATGTTTGTATACTTTCAGTCTGTAGCATCACTGATCAAACCTCAGGATGTGTTAAGAGAAAACAGCATGACAGTCTTTCATATCTGTATATGTTGGTTATTAAATCAGCGTAAAGAGAGAATTAGAGTTATGTCACAGCATCCCCTTTTGTGTGTCACATCAAAAAAAACCCATTGAACAGATTTCTTACTCTTACTGCATTGTTTCGTGCAATTAAACAGAATAAACACTCATCACCATTACGGCACTTTGGTTTGTTCAGCCACCATCAATTATCTTTTTCAAAAGTTCTGTTTAACCAGGAAGCAAACCTGGTCTTAAATAACAAGAATATAGGCTGAGAAATACAGTCTGTCACGGGTCCATGTGTAATCCTACAAGCTGCTCTGTCCTAGCAATTTTCAGTTCCAAAGTAACTTTATCAAGAGGCGTGCTGTGGGGATGCGGCGATGTGGTGTAGGATGTTCATCACAGAGGTGGGATCCAGCAGCTCAGCAGTGCTAATCCTGCCTGGTTGCTGCAGCCTCCCCTTCTCATTCTTTGCTGTTGCTCAGCCCCAGTGAAGGCAACGGGGGCTTCACATGCATCAAGAACACGACAGTGGGCAAATATATGTGGCTCCGTGCGAAATTGAACTCTCAGTTTCTACATCTGTAAAACTGAGATAATGCATTACCAACTTCAAAGGGGTGTTGGGCAAAGTAATTAGTCAATGTGCATACAGCACCTTGAAAATACAAAATTAACTCTTATTAGCCCGTAAGTACTTGAGATGCACCAAGGTGCGCTCTACGGCCTCTTGATTCCAGACAAAGGTCCTCTTGATTAAATTAGATTGCTAACGTATTACTGTGTTAGCTCACTTGAAGAAAGAAAAGTTTAAAAAAGCAATTTGGCTTTGTCACATGAGCAGCGTGTATACTTAATGGAAATTTTTCCAGCATTCACAAAACAAAGAAAAATCAATAAAATGTCTGCCAAGTGTTCCACTGAAAACATTCATAATCTATAGCGCTGAGAATCCCGAGCCAAGATAAACCAGCATTGCTGACAGAAAATACTGACAATTATTTTACATTGATTCAACTTGGCCCAGCCCAGACTGACCTTGTTTATTCATCTCAGTCTCTTAATTCATATTAACTTGGCATCAAAATGGGACATGTGGCATGTGGGCTGAAGACCCATTTCTGTATCTTAGACTCAGATAAATGTAGCACATTGAGTACTTCCAGTGCCTTGAGCTCTTAGGTAGATTTATATGCATTAGACAGAACTGGTTAAGTTCCTTTTATCCCCGCTGGGCTTTTCACGTCTGTTGACTGTAAAACTAGAAGCTCAGTAGAAGTAACATCTTCTTCTAAGCCTTTGGATATACATGAAATCCTCCCAGTACTGGTCAATTTTAAAGACACGTCCAAAGAGGATGGAGGGTTTTAAGCTCTTTTAAAACATAAAAATAGAAGGTTTATGGCAATTTGGCAGCCAGAAAAGCAATTTGCAGGTCTCGGCAGAATCCGAGGCTGTGTGTAAGAAAGCTGATCAAGACACTACGGAGGAGATAATGGGGTTGAAGAGCAGAAGAATCCCTCCATTTTTGCAGCCAGCATAATCTGGTCTCCAATGAAGTTTCTTAGTTTCTTTTGCTAAACCAATAAAGCTTAGCATGATGGGAGAGTTTAAAAATGTCTTGGAAAAGCCGATGAGGAGAGTTGCTTTTAGTTGCTTTACAGACGCCCAGGTGCCTGCGTAGCTATTGTGCAGTTGGTAATGTGAAGGCGCAGGGAAAATCTGAGCTTTTTCTTTAATTATTTATGTTCTCATCACTAATAAAGGGCTTTTTATGCCTGGAATGTGTTATTTGTATTATCAAAGCCGAGTGAGATTTTGCACTGTGGCAGTTAACAAATTGGGTGCCACACAAAAGCATTCACATTTTTATTCTCATAACTGCACTGCTGTCGTATCTGAAAGCCACCCTCGAGTGAAACACTACTAGAGTGGAACATGACTACATCCACATAGAGGGAAGATCCACCCAAATGAGGAGAATTCCCCCAAAGGGGATCCCAGTTGGTCTGGCTTGAGAGATTTATTTTATTTTCTCTGCTCGACTCATTCTTGCCGAAGGCAGCTCTTCCCTTGGACTTCGCCAGGCACTTGGCAGTTTGCGGACAGCAGGACAAGCGGCGAGTCGGCAAGCTGAGATAGCATAAGATAACCTCCAAATTTCCAGTTCCACTGCCTTGGGAATGGATTGCCTTTCCACACGCCTACGTAAACAGAGATTAATGATGAGTGAAGAAACCAAGACTAGCGAAACCAAAAAAAAAGAAAAAAAAAAAATCCATCTGCATTTTCCGTTAGACATAGCTGACATTTTCCTCCTTGCAGTTCCTTCGTGACTTGGATTTCAGTGATAGGGGTGGTGCAGGGACAGGGTTTAATTGCAAAAATCTGCCTTTTGGGTCTGATATCCTCCTCTCCTTGGAATCCGCCTGACCGCCTCTGTACAGGGCTGCTGCAGTGCCAGAGACCTGCTGCGTGTGTTGCATATCCCCAGCTTGTCCTGCTTAACAAAACCTTAACTGCTCAAAAAAAACCAGCTTTACACCACATCTTTGAATGACAGGATGGTGCTGGAGTGACTGCATGGCCAAATGAGTGTCCTAGTGACGCTCAGTCAACAAACGTACTGGCATCTGATAAAAAAAGAGCTACAGTTTGTAGCCAGGGAATTACACAGGCTGCTGTGTACTTGAAAAGATAGAAAACAAACAGAACAGCTTTGCTCTGCTATGCAGCGTCTTCCCAACTCTTCAGTCCTTGCTCCCTCCCCTCCTATCACTTCTGTTTTGTTTTCAAAGACCCACCAGCCACAGACAGGCAGAGGACACCAAGCGTGAGCCTGGAGCGGATGGCCACACCACCTCCCTGGCGGGGAAACCCTTTTCCAGCAGCTGGGAAGGTAAGCAAACGAGTCGCTTTCAAACATGCACAAGGGGATGAACCTAGAAAAGATGATGATTGCTATCTTGAAAAAGAACTTGGATCTAGGAAGAAAAATAAGGCAGTGGCCTTGCAGCATGAGCTTGGTTTGTGTATACCTATCAGGGAGAGGCATGAGGACTCAGCTACCAGCTCTCACAACGTAGAATAAATCATCTGATCATATGAATCTCCTCATCTTGCTGTGCTATTCATGATTTAACACAGACAGACAAAGTGTTTGTTAGATTTGGTCGTTGTTGCTCTGTTACTCGGTATGCCATGGTCAGGTCCTCCAGCAGCAGAGCTTCACCCGTTATGTGGCTTGTGAAGCAGCATTTTGTGCTACTTCAGCAGGGCAGGTCTGGAGTAAATGGACGCAGACGTCTTGCTTTGGCAGTGTTCGATATCTCCATCATAGCAGATTCAAAGTAGTGCAACAGTGTAATAGAGTAGTGCAGCACAAGAAGGTCACGGCTAAAGAGTTGTCCTGTAAAGTCAGCCAAGCAGGGATACGTAAGAGTATTTGCACAAAGGGCGAGACAGGGATTTTTATCTTCTGCCTCGTTCAGGTGTCCCATCACTGCACTGACAGGCATGTAGGAACTGAGCCAGTCTCTAGACACACCGGCATGGAAAGTTGAGACGTAACTGCGGCTCCTATAGCCACAACTGAAATAGATAGTTTCAAACAAGCGAGCCACGGGTGCGCTTCCACGTTCCCGTGAAGCTGAACTAGCAGCTTGCCACCACTGAAACGGGAAGGTCCTGGCTGCCCCCTCACCACCTTCTTCCACCCACGTTTATGGGATCACACAGGGGGCCGCCAGCATATTAACCCAAGCAAAAAAAATTGATTTGTTTTCTTTCCCATGGGCTTTTGTCCATCCCCTGAGCCGAACAGCATTGCCTGGGGATCAGAGGACACCACAGACAGCACCAAGTGAGGGGCAGAAGCAGATTGCCTGCAGCAGGACTTCTGTTTGATGTTGGCAGCTGTTAATTCAGCTCAAGCTGTAACACGAAGCCTCATCCTCGAGCACCTCCAGCAGCAACCTGACAGCACACAGGCTGCAAAACCCTCCCGAGACACAAGACGAGCGCTCAGGCAGGCAGCCCGCACCGAGCCCCAGCCCACAGCCGCCCCAGAACAGGTAGAGGGGTGTGCTGCAGCCGTGGCTCCGTCACAGCGCCCGCGTCCCACGTCTGCAGCGGCTCCTCACCGAGCCGGGGTGATGTGGGAGCCCCCATCTATCGCTGGCCTCGCGTCTCCACGCTGCCCTATCCACAAAAATCACAGCTGCTTTAACTTGATCGAGAGTTTGAGGGTATATACGTATCCTACATGTGTAGACTTGTATAAGCAATATATTAAATATTTTAATTCATCCATTGAATATCAGGATATGAAATAGCCGTGTCCTATCAAAAAAGTGAGTTACCTAATACTGTACCCTTGTTTGTTTGGGTTTTTCAGCAAGTTCAATGCAATGTAAATAACATGGTGATCTGTTTTTTCTTTTCTTTTTTCTTTTTTTTTTTAAGGAAATTTGAGAGCAGTTCCTACAGAGCAGGTAACACATTTCTGATTTATTTTTTTATTTCTGCTTATTATTATTTACTCTATTTTGCAGCTTCCTGAAACTCCCCGAGCCTGTCCCTGCAAGCTGTCTGCCTGCAGGGCTCTTGCCGAAATTGGTAGAAATGCTCCTATACCGCGCTGCTAGAGCGGGGCTTCATCTGCAGCTTTGAATTGAGCCCAGCACATAAAAGTCAAAAATTATTATTATCCGATGCCTGTTGGATGGGACCTAAGAAAGAACTTATTGTCCTCCATCCACGTTCATCTTACACGAACTAGCCAGCGCTCGTATTGGTGCTTTCAAGAGCGAGACCACAGCAAAGAGCAGTGAAATACTACCCTATGGTTTCATGATTGCTTTAAGCTGATTTAACTGCAAGGTGCTGCCAAAAAAGGTGGACCAGCCCTCCCCCCCTCTCCAGTCTCCAGTCCTATGTCCTCCTCCCTCTCCCGTGCTGTCTTGGGCGCTTGTGCACTTCCGGCCTGTGAGACGCTCACCAGGGCAGGAGAGGAGGAGAAGACCTCCATGTGGGCAGGGACACCCTACCCCGTCCCCCAGATCCTTCAGCTACCCCCATGGAGACATCCCCTCCCAGCCTGGGTTGGTGCCCCAGGTGGTTGGGTGTTGGTGGGGGTGCGTATAGGGTACATACATACGGCTACCCTGTCTCCGGAGCTGATGAGCTGGCAGTGTGCAGCACCAAGGCATTCCTTCAATTCCACTTTAAAGGAAAATATAAAATAAAATAAAATAAAATAAAATAAAATAAAAGCCATCTCATGGCAGCATGAATGAAGGCACATGATTGCCTGTATTTTAGCCTCCTCCCAGTTACAGTTCCTGTTGAAACTTTTATTTCTGAGGCTGAAGTATTCAATGTTTGGCCTCAGTACAGATCATTTAAAAAAAAAAAAAAAAAAAAAAAAAAAAAGAAAGGAAATGCTTCAACCTCCCAGCGGAGCAGGATGGCACTTATTTATTTCTTTCATTACAAAACCAGCCTGTGCCAAGTAAAATTGTGTTCTAAGAGCTGTTCTACCAGTCTCGAAGCACTGGAGAACAACATGCGCCGGCCCCACCTCTGCAGCCTCCCGCGGGCCCCTGCGCTTTTGCACTGGGTGGAGGATGGGGAAAGGCTGGGGAGCAGGTTGACAGGGTCTGCTGCGCTGGGGTTGCGCTGGGGGGAAATCACCGTACTCAAAGGGATGTCCCCAGTGACCTTTTGATGGCTTTGGTGGCCTCAGGATGCAGAGTAATGTAAAATATAGCAGCGGTGACAGTCTGGAGGCATGGGTGGGATTCCTGGGTTTGCAGCTGGGTTATCCAGCAGCTATCTGCTCCTTCCCTGAGCTGCGTGTAAGATGCTGCTTGGCCCCATGTAAGCAGCTGGATTAATAAACCAAGGAGTTCATTTGGAAGCCCTGGACTACAAGCTCTTTATCTAAGCTCTCTACCCACGAGTGCAGACTCTGTATAATGGGAGTGATATAAAGAACAAAACTTTGCCAGCACATTGTTAAGGACTTACACAAGGGAGTAGTTAAAGCATCCTTTGGTTCCAAAATGTTACTGCGACTGAGCAGCCACCTTTGCTAAAAGCTGATGGGTCAAAGCGTGACCTCTGCGACCCTGGTGGAAGTGCCCTGATTTCACCACACATCGCAGAGCTGCTTGTGGGCACCTCCATTCTTGCTGAGCCACTCTGCTTCTCACAGGACCAGGGAAAGGGCGATGTGGTGCTGCTGGAGGCAGCAGCTCTGACAAGCACTTGGGCTGCAGGGGGAAAGGACTTGCTGGGTAAGAGGAAGCATTGTGCATGACAGGTTTTTCAGAGTAGAAAAGCCATCCACACAACACTAACTTTGCACTTCTGAGAATGCTCTTCCAACACCATACTGTCCTGACTTTTGTGTGGAAATTGAGAAGTCTTGCAGCAGTTGGGTACTGACACAGGAACAAGCACCCAGCAAACCAGAGCAGCTCCTTTCTAACTGGACTGACCTCTGGCTTTAGTTCAACCCATCCCAAATCCAACCCAAACCCACGATCAGCAGCAGCTCTACACCTGGACACCTCTACCAACCTGTTGCATCAGTGCCAGCATTTGATGGACAGCGCGGCCCCGAGGTCCCACTTTCACCCTCCTGCTCCCCGGGGCTGGCATCCCTCCACCACCACTTCCCGCACATTGCTTCAGAGGGAGCCCTCACAATACTGGGCTCGGTGCCACGCAAGGGGAGCACACCCAAAACCCAGCCCTTCTTGCACAGTCAATTCTGCAGGAAGATCTCTGCAGCTACAAGCCAGAGGATTTTCTTTGCCCCCCTTTGCCAGTTTGCTGGTGAGAGGCTGAAGCCATAAGTGACCTATACCCAGTGCAAACAGCCACGGAGGCCTCAGTGTCCGTATCCGACACAGACCCTATCTTTTGTAGGTGCATCATAATGCACGTCATCCTCGCTTGCTGCCACTCTCAGCTATGAGGAAGCTTCTCCTCCCTGAAACTGTAAAGATCATGCAACAAAAAATTCCCAGTCACCTGCCAGAGCAGCTGGCTGTCACACGGCCAAACAACACGCAGGCAGTTGAACAAGATTTGTTTTCTAGAGGAAAGTCTTAGCCCTACAGCATGCAAGACACAGCGCAGAGGCCAGAAAATGCTACCACTGGGGCTGCCGGAGGATCCCATCGCTGGAGGTGAAGGTGGCGATGGCATAGGTAGTTGCTGGAGGAGCAAGGATAAGGTGCAGTTTTTCTTGCCCTGTGCATGGCTCCGTTGGGTACGGCTCTTCAAGCAAATGAGAAGTGAGCATCCCATCCACAGTATTTGGTGGGGTCAGGACTTGGTGTTTGTGTTCAGTCCTGTTTTCCAGGAAAGGCTGGAGATGGGATGGGGTAGCCTCAAGGGCCATGCTGCTTGAGACCCAGCCTACTCTTGCTGCTTTGAGCAGGGTGATCTCCAGAGGTTCCTCCTGACCTGCTTTATTCTGGGATTCTATAATCTTGAGCAAACTGTGTAGGTTGGTTCAGAGTCTCCACTTAGCAGCACCCAGCCTTAGATAAGCAAATTAAAGCCTCCAAACCCCCTGGTCACCAACCTCAGTATAAAGAAGACCTTCTGGAAAATGTGAATTTCAGCTGCTCTGTCATTTCTGGGCTGGAGACTGATCTTATTTACAGCAGTTTGAGATGCTGAAGCCAATGGCGCCTTATGGCTACCAAATTGTTGTTTTAATATATTATCACTCAGCTAAATACCTATCAGCCACAAAGGTTTTGTATGATGCTATCCAAGGGAAACAAGGCATTTACAGTGAAGGAGAGCAGTACCTATGGATCCTAACAACAGGCAGGTCCTTCCACGTAGCCATTCCTGCAGCCACGAAGTGGATGGTCTTCACCTGAAAAAACCCCAGGTATTTAAAATAATTCCCTGCAGCTCCTTCATTTATTCCTCTCCCACTGTCATCCTTTCCCACCTTCATCATGCCCTCAAGAATAATCCCCAGGAGAAAAAGCGTAGCCTCCTTGGAGCAATACAGCTGCACAGGGACGAGGTTTCTCTGTATTTCCCGCTCCAGGAGACTAAAGGGATCCTCCGTTCTGCCTCAGACCTGGGGAAACCAAGCAAACCACTGCCTCCATCCTGCTATCCCTGCAGGTCTGAGATGGCTTAGTGGCTTTTCAATTACAGGGGTGTGCCTTCCCATACCACTCCTCCCGTTGCCTGCCAGAGCAGGACCACATCATTACCATGCAAAGCCCCACGATCTGAATTCTCCAGGGCACAAGTGGATGCTCTCCTGTCAGGATATTCATGTTTTCCTGCCCTGGATGACTAGCTGCTCATTACTGAAGGCAGCAGCCCTGCAGTGCTGGCTTACCCTGCTTCTGGTCAGCCCTCTTCCTGCGCTATGGAAGTCAACTCTCGTCAAATTATTACAGCTTCTTTTATTGCCGGGGTGCTACATGAGAAAAGATGCAGACGTCAGAAGAGGGTTCCAGTCCTTATCGCTCTTCAGCCTTTGATTAACATTAAACACCTCTATAAGCTTGATGCCACATCAGAGACTTCCCACGCGACACTGCCAAGTCTGCATTAGTGTGACCAGAGAGGTTCGCAAACAGGGTTTTTTAAAAAATACTTTAAAAATAGCAAGTAGGTAGGTCTGCAGAGCCTTCTTAACCTCTCCCCAGTCAGAGGCACAAATCACGAATCACAAAACCTATCATCACAGATACCCATCTATCTGATGCACTCAGGACCCTGACCCTTGAACAACAGGGACCTACCCAAACAACCTTGAACTCTAAATGGTCAAACATGATGTGGTTGGTTTTTTTCTCCAGCCTTCATTCACCTTCTCACCTATTCCCTTGGTCCCCAGAGCAAGCACCAGCAGAAACCCCTCTGCATCAGGCACTGGCACAGCTCTAGGGAAAAAAGAGCCACCCCTTACCTTCAGCCGCTGATGCTCCTCAAGGCTTTACCTCTGTGGCTCCGCTGCCAGAAAAATACCTTTTGTATTTTTTGGAGCCTCCAACAAGTGTCGTTTGGAGAGCAAGGAGAGCCCACAGAAAGCTTGCAGACACCCAAAAACCAAGGCACATACACACAGCCCCCCCATGAGGGCTGCTACTGAGTAAGGCAGCTCATAACCTCCTTGAAGACATCTGCCTAAGCAGCAGCCTGCACCCCAAAGCTGTGCTGTGACTTTCAATGCTGGAATAACCCAGTGGGGTCTGGGATGCAAGCGCTGGGTCGGATGGGGCATCAGGGACGCTTTCTTATCATCTTCAATCCTCCAAGAATGAACAGGGGTCGTACTGTGGCAGGCCACCTCCAGCCGTCTCACTGCCAGGGAAGTGCCAAGCGACGGGCTGGAAACAAAACTCAATGTCCATGCAGCGCCCGTTTGGAGCCATCGCTCTTTTACTGCTCCCTCCACGCTGAGGTAGAGAGCTTGCACGCACGAATGCTGTTTTGGAGGGTGATCTCTATCTCTGTGGTGAAATGCACATGCCATGAGATGGAGCTGCTGCTCTGGTAAAGGTTCCTTATGAAGCTGCATGAGTTAGGGGATTTTTTTTCCTCTTTCCTGAAGTCAAGGAGCAGGGAGTCACTCACATGAGTCCCGTCTGCCCTCGCCAGTGCTCCCGCAGCCTGGCACAGCCCTGATAGCCACCTCCCAGGGTCAAGCCCACCCTGCTTCCCCATGCCAGCCCGCGTGTCTTACCCTCCGAGACAGGACAAGCACACGTTTCCCTTTGTTTTCAGCTCCACACCTAGTTTTTTTCTTTGCATCGTGAAGGGCTGGCTACTCATCTATAATTCAAAAGAAAGCAATGACTCACTTTCTGAGGCAAAGTATTTCACGCATTTTGCAGGCACGCTAGCCCATGTTATGAAATAACCTCTATTTGTGGCATATATTCTCCCCATCGTCCTGTCCTTTGCAAAACCAGAGGGCTAGGGTTTCACCCTGCACAGGCACCGAGTGCAGAAAGGGGATCTGTGCTTAAATCAGGTATTTGCATTGTATGAGGAATGCAAAATGCCATCCACACGTAAATTTGAAAACCTGGCTCGCTACCCACTGGCGTTAACCCAGCCTTGCAGTGTTCGCAGTATGTTTTAATTAAATTGTAACAAAAATCTAGAGTTTCGCTTTTGCCGGTAAGCCTCCAGGAGCCGGGGAAGGGGGCTCGAAGGCAGATGGAGCCTCGGATCCCAGCCCCTCGCATCCCAACCCTGTGTCCACCGCAGGGGACACTGAGAGGTGTCGCTGGAGCTGGAGAGCCCCCGGTTTCCCCAAGAGTAGCAGGGAGGGGGTGTTGCAAAGGTGCTTAAAAAAAGGGGTGAGGGGCCTTGCCTTGCACAACCAGGCTGTCTCCACCGCTTTAGGGCTGCAGCCTACATTCTTGGGCCGAACTGGGACAGAGTCTGCACTTGTGCCTTCTCCCTGGGTTGGGGTGGTGTTTCCAATAACCATGCAAGGCTTCCATTCCTTGTAGCATGTCCCTGCAGCCTGCCTGATCCTTGCCTGTCTTTCCCCCCGCAGGAGGCTGGCGACAGCGGGTCTCTCAAAGTCGTGCACTTCGGGCTGGTGTGACCAAGCGTGGGACCCCCCCTTCGCTGCCCCAGCAAGGAAGGGGAAACCTCACCCAGGTGGCAAAGTTCACAGAAAGTCCTTCAGCAAAATTCCAGCCGTCCCTGGATCTGGCCACCAGCAGAAGATGAAGCACCAGGGCTATAAAAAATGCTGCCCTTAGACCTTCAAGTTATTTCTGGGTTAGCACGAATGTGTCCGTGCACAAACTGCTCCACATTTGGTTATGAAGGGCAATTAGGTGACATTTTCATCATGGCATTCAAAGACTTTAAAAAAGCAAGTAATAGCAGATCCCCATTTACTGTACAAATGCAGTGCTGAAAAATCTTTTTTTGGGGGGTGGTGTTATTGGATGAATCCATAAACTTCTCAGGGGCAAGTCTGTAATTCTCTATGCATTATATATTTTAACAATCTTCACTTGGAAGCAGATTTGAATTTCCACTTAAGGCTCTGAAAACCGTCCTATTGAGATACCAGCAGATAAAATCTTCATTCAGGATACCTCTGTGAAAGAGCAGCCTTTCACAGTCGGCAGCATTTTTCGAAGAATGCTCTCAATTTTCATATCTAGATATATCATCTTAGTTGAATAACCATTATTTTGCCTTGAAAAAAAGACACGGAGCCTCTTAAACATCATTCCATTGGAGTCCAGATTTTAATCTGCCTCCTCTAACCACGAAAAGAAAATGCACTGAGAAGGTAACGTAACCTGTTTCAGCCCTCTCAGTTTTTTTCTGATGGTGAAGAGAAGGGCGAGCATCGTCACGGGTCTTTCTTCCCACCATTTGATCAGGTGCAGCATGTATGGATGCAGATTTTTGTACTCTACTGCAAGCACCTTGTCAGTTAAGCTTGAGCCTTTTGGGGAGCACTGGGTGGTTGCAACCCAAAGCCGACAAGCTTCTTGAAATCGGTTTTGTATGACGAACAAATTTGTTTGATGAATGGACTGAAAATAAAAGCACAATGTAAAAAAAACCCAAGCCATTAGAAGTATTTTATTAACAAAAATTCTGCGTTTACCCAAATAAAATATTTGTGCTCGCTGCCAGTCAGCCATTTTCCTCCACGAGC